CAAGTAGTGTCCAGTTTGTAAAATACGTAACGAGGGAATCTTACAGGCAATATATTTTCATTGGACAACTTCATTTTTAGACCAGCTCTGTTCTGTGTCTCAGATGGGACCTGGGGTTCTAGTGGAGGCCACTCGTACGTGTAAGTCAGAAGCAGAGAGGTCTTGGTAGGAATGGCCTGTCCTTGGCTCTCTGGGCTGATCAACTCCAGCATGGGAGTGACTACCCAAATAATTGCCAAAAATTGGGAGAGTATATGAGAAGAAGGATCACTCTGGACATGCTGCTGCCTTGTATTTTTTCCTTAGGCAAGAGGTACTGCCACGGTCACAGACAGCATTCTGGCTTAACTGGACCTTTGGTCAGGGGTGGTTGTGTGATTTTTACACCACTGAGCCTCTTGGCACATCCAGATGAATTAGCTTGTGTGTATGAAGTATTACGAATTTTCAACCAAGCAATCTTTTATTGTTATGCGTATATGTTTTCTCATGTGTAGAAAAGAATAATTGCTGTACGCTGAAAGGATTTGTCTGAGCTGAGTGTTCCACAGCATTGAAGTTAACTCTGAAGACGTTAACTTAGAATGACCTTGCTTTTTTTCATGACTCACCCCAAAATTTATTTTCCTGTAGGTTCGTTCTGGGTGATCAAATTAGATTTGCTTGCATATAGATGCTGTTCTACATATATATATATATATATATATATTACTTTAACCAAGGAAAGCTCCCACACTTTCCCTTGTTTATGCATATTATATGTGACATAGATTCAAAGTTGTCATAGGCCTTATTTACAAGTGAACATATGAATATAACCCAATTTAAAACTATCTCTTCATTTTCCCTTCTGGCTGTCTCGCCCTTCAGTTGTGCTGCTGCCTACGCAGTGTGGAGCCAATGGAGCCGGGGAGGTCACAGCCCGCTTAGCTGCTCTAGTCTGAACTTCACAGGTTGTCCGCCTGCTTCTCAGCTCTCGTGGTCAGCGCCATTGCAACGTTCCCTTCCACACACAGGTAATGCCCACATCGGAAATTGTACTTCATATTTCAGGCCGTGGGTGAGAGAGAGATGGCGCAGTATGTTAGAGGCTGGTTCTCAACCACTCCCTGATTTTCAAACTAGCCACAAGTGCACGTTTAGGCAGCCTGGGAGCTGCCTGAGCAGGCACCAGGCTCCCCGAAGCACCGTCTGTCGGCTGAGAGCAGCCCGTGCTCCGGCCACGCTCCCTCCAGCCTGCCTGCTCCAGCACGCCCTGCGCGAGGGGTGTTGGGGAGAGCTGCCGGGACCGGCTTCCTGGCTGCCCCAAAATCCCTCGCTCCCGTCTCGCTACTTGCAGGTTATCAAGGGAACACAGAGGAGCACAGGAGCTGTTCTTCAGTCTCTGAAGCTGTTAAAAATATGTCTTATGAAGGTATATAGGAGCGTGTGTGAGCTGCAGAGGACACCTTCTTGTTTCTCGTATTGTTTTTCATATTGTTCCTGAACCAAGGCCCAATTCTTCTCTCTGTGAAAGTAAAGTTTAAATTCTGTTCCTATTCATTGACTGATCCTATTAATAAACTAGGTAAACAGAGATTATATTTTAAGTAAGTGTTAAGGTGCTGGTGTATTACTAAAAGGTGAAGATATGCAAGATAGCCGTAAAGGGTTTTTTCTGCAAGTACATGAACCCAATAGACGGTGTTCTCACATAATTGCAGACTATAGATATCTTTATTTTTCAGTAAGAGCATACTGCAATAAGGGAAGTCCCTGAACCTGTACCATATCACATTCAAGCAAAGATAATGATTTTTTGAAAGCAAAGAAAAAATTATATCACAAATAAATGCCTAGAGATGGCTTCCAAGACATCAGACATTTCGTAAACCAGCGAACGGATCCAGACCATGCAAAATTGGGACGATCCTCTCTTTTCCTGTCTGTTGATTTTTCCACGATAAGAGTGTCCAAAACTCTCTGAAATAAAGGATTACTGTCTAGGGGTTCGCAAAGTCGTATTTTCATAGAACAGTTCGTTCTGACAGGTAACCCCAGCAGGCACAGAAGCTGTTCCATAAAACGCAGTGTCCCTTGTCTTAAAAATTTATTCTACATCCCAAACTCAAAGGTTTATTTGTTCTCAGTGGTGTTCACAGGTGTTCACAGCGCTGCTGTGGCCCAGAGTTTAGATCTGTGATTTAGCTGCCTACGCCTCATTTGTGAGATTGTAAGCAAGTGAGACCCAGTTCAGTTTAGCGTTTAGCAAATTCTATTCACCCTTTTGCCACTAAATCACTGTACAAGTGTGAGCAAACCACTCGGCTCTTCCTCTCCTTCCCCTTATTCAAATTTACCCGGTCGATCACTTGCGATATGACTGTAACGGAGTGAAGATTAGCCCGTGAATATGTACAGAAAATTCTGGAAGCCCTGCTGAACTGAGGTGACAGCCTGAATTCCCGGTGTAGAGAGGAGATTTCAGAAATATTGCAAACTTTCTGTGTGAACAAAGTATGGAACGGATCCCATGATTTTCTAGCCAGAACAGCTAGGAGGAAACCGATCCGGTCCCCAGCAGAGATCCGCACTGAGATCACCGGGACGTAGTACTGACTTGCCAGGTCTGAGACAGGTCCTTCATGCTCAGTCGTCTTCTTGGTTGCTTTTGGTTGCAAAATGTGCTGGGCCAAGAATTAGGAAAATAGGAGGAGATTACTTTAAATTTCACCACATTTCAAATCGTGATAAGTACACATTTCTACATTAAAAATGTGTTTAACTTCACCATCTGTGTTTCACTTGGTTCACGTATTCAGGTTATTCTCTAAAACTCTGAAAAAAATGGTTTTAAGTTAAAGTTCAGATTCTTAACTAATCACCAGCTATCAGGAGCTAGGCCCTTGCACACACAAATATGCAGCAAGTCAATGGCACTAGCAACAGTCAGTAATTTGGGCATCCTGCTTTTAGAGCAATTAGTGCCAACATTTTTTTGCATTGTTTTAGAAGTATTGAGGAACCGTTTCTTCAGATGGTGTTGGGATCATCTATGGGGGTTCCACATCTCTCCACTTCAGGCATCTCAACCGAGGCAGCCAGAAACTGGGTCAGGGCAATGTTCCAAAATTTTAGTGGTGAGCCTCCAAAATTCAAGACACTCAGGGAATGCATGTTGGGGAATAATACGAGAATGCTGGAGGAAAACAGAAAAAAAGAGAAGAGAGTATTTCATTTGTACTCAATATTGATATTTCAAAATTTGGGACTGTCAATGTGGACTAAAACACAGTTTGTTTTTAAACCCCTGTGAGAGCCAAGCCGGTTGCCTCTGAGCCTCAGATGCTGTCTGAATCCGTGGGTTCCTAACTTGCCACAAGGCAATCTGTACGGCTGGCTGCTCCGAATCTGCAGGCGCGGGAAGATTTTGGACGCAGGCTTTCGAGGAGTCTCCCCACCGGGTTGCACTGGAACCTGGAACATGAGAATGTGGGTTGGCAGGAACCTGCGCGTCTGCCGAGCAGCCCTGGAGGCGTCCCAAATTTGGGCTTGCCACCATCCCGTCTGATAGGATGGAGAAAACTGGGAAGCATACCTCAGCTCGAAAGCTCAGAATTTGGGAGCCGGCTCCCCCAAAACCTTTACCCCTTAGTGCCTGGGCAGATGTTGCGAGGAGCGGTGAAGCAGCTGGAGCTCAGCAAGGCGAACCAGCCTCGGCGGAGGCACCTGGGGACTCTGCAGGTGGTCCCCAGGCTCCTTGCCGGGCTGCTGGGCACCATTTCGGGGTGATTTATCAGAGAACTGGAGCCCTGAGGAGCCGTAGTTTGCATTTACGCAGTTTTTAGGGCCTGGGCTGGCTTTTGGCATGGAGGGGGTGATGCGAGAGGCCGGGGAGTGTGACAGCCCAGTCTGCCCAGTGATGGAAAGTGAGAAACTGGAAATTCACCTGGATGCAGCCCCGAGTCAGCCAAACATGAAGCATCTCTACAAAACACCTAGATCTGAACAAACTGCCCGTCCTCTGACAAAAATATTCCGTCTGAGAATTTCTGCCCAGGTCTGGCGGTAAACATCTCCAGGGTGTCATTCGTGCCTGATACAGGGTAAAAAAAAAAAAAAAAAATATTCGTGTACCTGGTGCTGGGGGTGGAAAGATGAGGGAATGGAACGGTAAATTAAAGGGGTTGAAAACAAAAACTGCTGATTGTCTGAGCGTGACTGACCGGGTTGTGCTCAGCTGTCTCTGGGTGGAAACGCGCCTTCCCACAGAGGAAAGAGCCGCGGAGGGGGCCGCGTCCACCCCGCGCTGCCCGAGGGGTCCCTTCCCCTCGCCCAGCGGGACTCC